CTGAATATGAAAGCATGTACCTCTAAGGTGTGAAACGACGTCGTTTAACGGGGAGCAGAATAAAAGAAAAGCAAAAATGAAGCAAGCAGGACACGGTCAAGCTGCTTTGAAAATAAACCGAAAAGAAAAAAATAGAAGCGTCTGATTGGACGGAGGAAAAGAAACGACGCAGTTTCATCATTAAATGGGCAAAAAAAAAAAAAAGAAAAGAAATTGCGTAAAACAAAAACAGCCGATCCCCATATATATATGTAAATTGCCTTTTCTTTTGGCCCATTTAATACCTAAACTACGTCGTTTGGTTCCCTCCCACCAATCATCTTCTCACGTTATTTTCTTTTTTATTTATTTCTGGAGCAGCTCGACCGTGACACGCTTGCTTGCTTTTTCCTTTTCTTTTAATCTGTTTTATGCAGAACGGCGTCGTTTGAACGCCTGAAATTCAAATGTTATTTTTATTTTCTTTTCTTTCTTTTGTTTTTTGGCCGCCTACAATTGTTGACGCCGCCGGAATTTCCTCACCCAGGCCGTCATGTCTGCAATCATCACGTAAAAGAAAAGCAAAAATGAAGCAAGCAGGACACGGTCAAGCTGCTTTGAAAATAAACCGAAAAGAAAAAAATAGAAGCGTCTGATTGGACGGAGGAAAAGAAACGACGCAGTTTCATCATTAAATGGGCAAAAAAAAAAAAAAAAAGAAATTGCGTAAAACAAAAACAGCCGATCCCCATATATATATGTATATATATAATAATAATATATATATATATATATATATATATATATATATATATATATATATATATATATATATATATATATATATATATATATATATAAATAAAGTGGTTTTCATGTTTAAATAGTTGTTTTATACAGAGCGGTTTTCAACAATTTTATAGTGGTTTTCAATAATTTGGTGTACATATTTTTATATAACTGTATATACAGAGTGTTTTTTATGTTGATATAGTTGTTATACACAGTGGTTTTCAAGTTTACATAGTTGTTATACATAGTGGTTTTTATGTTTATATAGAATGGTTTTTATCTGAAAAAACTGGAAATAAAAAAAAACCATTTTTTAAAAAATATTGAAATTAAGAAAAAAGAAAAACCATGAAAAAACGAAAATAAAAATAAAACAATTTTTTTAAATTAAAATAAAAAACATTAAAAATATAAATAAGAAAAAAATAATTTAAAGTACAAAAAAAAACCGAAAATAAAAAAGTAAATTAATTACAATTTTTTTTAAATCGAAATAAAGAAAACAATTAAACAAAATAAAAAAGAAAAGGAAAAAAAACAGAATTGGCGTAATTAGAGAAATAATTTTTGGAGAAGATTTGGATGTAGATTATGGGTATATTTTTTTAAAATTAAATAATTATACTAATTAATAGTTAGTGGGGGCATACATGGTTTTTCAGGCCCATTGGATTTATCTCAAAAATCATTTATAAATAAAGGATTTATCAAGAATTAAAATCCAAATGAAGGGTGTTTGGCATATAACCCCTATAAATATATAATATGATGCTATAATTTTGTGAATTATGTGCTATACTTAAGTGGTTATATTTATGTGTGATATGTGTGTGATTGCCGTGTATATATGTGTATTATGTGGATAATTGGATTTTGCTTGTATGCTCGTTGATTGATATTCGTGATGTCGTAAAGTGGTCATTTTCATATTAGAGTCTCACTAGTCTCATGGTCATGCATAAGAAGAGATTTCATTTTTACGAAAGGAAAGGTTAATGGAATGCTTGGGTTGGATAAGTGGGATACGGGGGGCCGATATTCCAACCATAGTTACTATAGTTAAAGGGGTGGTTTGATTCCACCAAAAGAACGGGCTCAGAATAATATGCTTATCATCCAAGTAAAGAAGTTAATTTTTCACGGATCCGAACAACAGAAAATGTTTTCATTCATGCATTTGCACGAAAGGGTAATTTGGTAATTTTCAGTATTTGAGTCGATTTACGTGCTTAAATGAAATTAAGTGTTTGTGTGTGTGTTTGTTTGCCGACGAATGGTAAGGTGTGATGCTTGTGTGTATATATTACAAGTACGTAAAACCATATTTTAAACCTCGTTATCCATTCAGATTTCTTACTGGGCTTAATAGCTGATATAAATACTTCTTTGATTGCAGGTAACAGTAGTAATCCCTCGCCGGAATGGACCGAGTAGTGGATCGGAGTCTTGGCCGGAGCTTTTGGATGGTCGTACGAGGGGTCTATAAACTATGCTTGTTTTACTTTGGTGATGTAAACTAAAAACAATTTCCGTATTTCCGTTTTCCTTAAACTCTAATATTTCCTCGTTAGGGGAATTAAACTCTTATCTTAGTACGGGCCTTATTTTGATATTAATATAGTTGGTCCGCTTATTTTGATAATTGCATTTCTTACCCGAAAATCCCTATTCACTAAATACCTTTAAACTCTGATTCCTTTTCGAACCAAAAGTGAAACCTATAGTTAGATAAACGTAGCACTCGAATAATAATCTCCTTTTCCAAAGTTATTGCGAAACGAAAAAAAAAATTAAACGACCAAAATCACCCTAAGGAGTTTTAGAAAATTCTCAAGGTTTTTCAAAAGTTTTCAAATGACCCAAAAAGAGATTTTTAGAAATTACATTTTGGTCCTACTCGAAAGTTTTAAAATTACAAAGAGATCCCTTTTATCTGGACTTATTTGTTAATAAGTAACCCAGGATGGGCCTATAGGTAATTCCCACTACATAATTCGTAAAAAATAAATAGTAAAAAAAAAATCCCACTATATATATTTAATTTTAATTTATTTTCTTCCATGTAAGTAATTTTGGGAATCTCTAAAGACCGTGTCACACTTTCCGTCATGCCAATATGCCATAGACTTTCTTGGTCAAAATGGAAGGAATTGTCACATGAGATGAATGTGATGTTGGTCGGAAAATTATATTTTATGTCCTTCAACTTTACCACTAATTAAAATGATTTATGTTCTTAAATATTTTCACGAAATATGTCCTCAAATTTGCCACTTTTGATCAATTTATGTTATGCCTTTAACGTCGTCAGCCAACTTCGACGGAAATAACACGTGTGGCTCACGTGACGTCTATCTGGCTGTTAAATGTTACGTGGAATAACTACCTACATCTATCTGGCCATATAAAAAGACGTGGAGAGTGACACGTAACTCTCTTCCTCTATATCAATCTCACCAACAATCACATTTCATTACACCCAAATTTATTGAACCAAAAAGCAGAAACCCTACCCCCAAATTACCTGTAGGAAGCTTAATATTGAGGTGAAATTCCGCAACAACAAGATTGTCCAACCCTAATTTCGCAGAGTTTCGAACATTTGTGGAGCTGGGACATCATAATCGAACAACAATTTCTGATTTTGAGTAAGTTTCTTCAAAGTTAATATATTTCAACTTCGATTTTGTGACTTTGGGATTTTGGGAGTTGTGATTTCACCCAAAGCAGTGCGGCATCTTGAAGGGAAGAACTCTTGTAATGTGAGAAAGTTTGGCATGGGTTCGACCAAGAATGCAGATTGTATTGAACATTTGGGAGTGGGTTGAGGAGATTCAAAGATATTTTGGAATTGAATGGCTAGGGTTTATGAGATGAACCGTGAAGTGTGATTTGGAAGAGTGAGGTAGAAATGTGAGGGAAAATTAGTACATTTGTTTGACAAGTCAAAATTTCAATGCCATGTGTTATTCCACGTCACATTTAACGGTCAGATAGACGTCACGTAAACCACACATGCTATTTCCGTCGAAATTGACTGACGACGTTAACGACGGAACATAAATTGATCAAAAGTGGCAAGTTTGAGGACATATTTCGCGGATTGAAATATTTGAGGACATAAATCTTTTTAGTTGTAAAGTTTAGGCAAATAAAATGTAATTTTCCCGATGTTGGTAAACGTCTAACGACTAAAATTGCAATCTCAATTGTATGAAGACAAAAATCAAATAAGCGGAATAGTATAAGGGCCAAAATTGCAGGCCAAGACGATAAAATTAATTTATACGGTTAAATTACTGTCTCCGACCAAGAGTCTCCAACCAAGACAGTAATATTAATGAAAATATTTTTTTAAGCAAAAAAGACAAAGAAAAAGTCTACGCCGGAGACCGGCGGTGGCGGCCAAAATGGGGGTCAAAATTAGAATAAAGGGCAAAATTGGTTAATTGAGCTAAATTGGAGTGTAATCATGAAATTGGAGTTGAATTAGGGTTTTAAAGAGTTGGGGTGATTTGGTATATATAATAGATTTTTCTTTATTTGCAAGACAAAAAAGTTTGATGTCCTTTTTTTTTTAAATTAAGTGCTCTTGTGATGAGCCTATTTGTCATTTATCCATATAAAAAAACAATTGACACTTATTTGCAGGAAACAATACGTTTTCCGCCCCTAAAGTCTGCACCGATTTTACACTTGGTCCCTCATGTTCACGAAAAACACATTTGGTCCCTTATCTTTCAAAAATTCAACATTTTTAGTAATTTTCATCAATTTTCTGTTAAAACTAACGGAATCAAGCGTGTTCCATGACTTGCTTAACTAAAGGTCTAACCTGTAAATTGACGGAAATGACCAAAAGTGTTAAATTATTGGAACATGAGGGACCAAATGTGTTTTTTTGTGAACACGGGGACTAAATGTAAAATCGATGCAAACTTGAGGGGTGAAAAGTATATAATTTTCCCGTTATTTGCAAAAGTGCTTTTAAATTGAAAAAACAATTTAAAAGCCCTCCTGTTATAGAATGAATGGAAGAAGTGTTACTTGTTTCATTGATGAAGAAGAGCTAACAATAAAGTAAAGCCCTCTCCTCTGCCAACAAATCTTCCCGCCACCAGAATCACGGAGGTAAATTGAAATTTTTTGAAACCCTAATCTTTTCTTAAAAACATTATTAATTAGAAATCGGTTACTCGTGTACGGCGTCATATTGTCAGGAAATAAAAATGGGAAACCGAATCAGCTTGAAGCATGTAATTCCTGAAGAAATAATCGAAGAAATCTTATGCAATCTACCGGTCAAATCCCTGTTGAGATTCAAGAGTGTTTCAAAACGATGGCGTTTTGTCATCTCGAGCGAATATTTCATCAAAAAGCACCTCAACAAATCGTGCGCCGATGGAAGTAAGCACGTCTTCGGCTTCGAACATCGAAAAACACATTTCTTGAGTCTCGGGTCGTGTTCGCTTCGTGATGAACCCGTTGTGACAACTAATATAGATATTCAAATTCGACCCGTGAAAAAAAATCGGATCGTGGGATCACTATTTGTACGGGAGATTTGATTATGTGGAATCCTTCAACTAGAAAAACCAAATACATTAAAAACTCTGCCCCGTTTATTCACGGAGTAGGATACGGGTTCGGGTACGATGAGTTGTCGGAGGACTACAAGGTTGTCATCATTAAAGACGGGCAACATAGTCAACAACACAAGACACCGACGCGAACACGGATGTATAGTTCCAAGACCGATTCTTGGAAAGAAATCGAGAATTTGAAAAAGTGTGTTTTCCAATACGACGGCAAGTTTGTCAACGGAAGGCTGCATTGGCTGGTCGGCGAACTTGGTTGTGGTTGGGATATTGTTGCTCTTGATTTGGCGGAGGAGAAATACGTAATTATGGCTCGGCCAGAGTGTTTTTCGGGTCTCCATTGCTTGTGAATGAGCAGCTAGAAATCAAGACGGGGAAAAAGGAGACGACTCGTGTTCTATGAATCATGGGTTTGTTCGTCGGAGGAAAAAGCAAAAAACAAACGTCACTTTGTATTTTTGATGCACTATGTCATCTAGTTTAGATTCGATGGAAATATGTGTTTTTCGATTTTCGACATTCTTCGTTTTTCTTTGTTATTGCGAAAGTTAGTCCATGAATATATGAAGCTTATTTTTGCGTTTTGAGATGCTTTATTTATCATTTTGAAATGAGTTTTTTGCAAAAACCACCCCTGTGTAATCTCGAATAGCTGAAAAACCCCTTGTGTTATAAATATTAGCACAAAACCCCTTATGAAAATAGTCAAAGCCAAAAAGAACCCTACGAGCTCGATGTGTTATACACTCGCGCTTTATGCGATTCGGCCTCTAATTTTGGAACTAGAAATACCTAAATACCCTTTAAATCAATTTTTTTGAAATTTATAAATTTATCTCATATTTTTCATAAGCTCAAAATAAAGTTTTCAGAATTTTCAATTCAATCCCTATTAATTTCAAAAAAGCCCTCTCTCGAAATTACATAGTACCAAATTGCAATTTTCATAATTTCTCAAAACTTCATCATCTTCTTTCTCCGTCTCCTTCTCCAGATCTGCTCCTCGCCAAAAAAAAAATGAAAAAAGAAAAGAAACAATATCGAGCGGTTCATCTTCATAACCAGCCAGTTTGCAAAAGAAGAAAAAACAACAAAAGTTGTTTTCTCCATCTAAACGCGCCGGAAGACAAAGGCAAGAAGAAAAAACAACAAAAGTTGCTTTTCCATCTAAACGCGCCAGAAGAAAAAGGCATTTCACGCACAAAAAACACAGGCACCAACACAACATACACATGCACAAAACTCGATCCAAAATCTTGATTTACAAGAGAAAAAGAACCCATCAAACATTAAGCATAATCTCTTTTTGGGGTGGGAAGGCAGGTGGTGAGGCGGTGGTGGTATGGCCGTGGTGGTGAGGCGGTGGTGGTATGGCCGTGGTGGTGAGGCGGTGGTGGTATGGCCGTGGTGGTGAGGTGGTGGATGCGGCGGCGGGGGGTTCGATGGAAGAATTGGGTTGGGGGAGGAAAATGATGGCCGTGGCCCGCCGTGGGTGATAATTTCTGTTTCTTTTTGCATTTTATTTATTTAATGGAAATATAAATTAATAAAAAAAAATAGGTTAAATTACAACTACCCTTGAGGTATGGTCAAATTACGAAAACCCCCTCCTGTTTGGGTAATTACAACCACTCGTCTTAGATATAAATCTTCTTACACGTCCACCCTTGCGGTTTCAAATTTAGTGGAATCTTCGTGATTATATGAAATATTATCACTTTCTTACCCGTTTTATCTCATTCGAACTCCACATTTTGAAGCAAGATGATCGTAATATGTGTTTTTTGGCTTGTATGTATCAGATTGTGGTGCATCAGAAACTGTATTTTTACACAAAACGAGTACAAACTAGAGCACATTTCCACAAAATATAAATGATTATGTTGAATTTGATTCCATTGGGGTGGAGGTATAAGAAAAAAATCATAGTTGAGGGGTAAATGTAATTATCCAAACAAGATGGGTTTTTTCGTAAATTGACCATACCTCAGGGGTGGTTGTAATTTACCCTAAAAATATGAGGTTAGTTTAATCATTTCATATAAGTCAACTGCTAATTTCGAAATAAGGGGCAGTGTGCTTTGTGAAAAATAATATGGAGTGGTCTATGCTAATAACATGAGGGGTTTTTAGCCATCGAGATTTCACAGGGGTTCTATGCAATTAGCTTTTTTAAATTGATACCCATAATTTATCCTTGATTCATTTTTTAAATTCGTATTTCAGTTTCATACATCCTTTTTTTTTTCAGGTGTAATATTTATTATAATATTTTAATAGGGGTCAAAGTCGGATGAATTGGATTAAAATTAGATTTTTTGGAAAATTTTCAAAAAAAAAATTGGAAGTAAAAAATCAATTTACATTCCAGTTTCAAAATTTTCGGAATCTAAAACCTCATTCCAATTCTAAAGGGCTACGACATTTTGAAATTCCGAAAAAAAAATTGGAAACCACACAAGTTTCAAAATTTCAAAACGTAGGGGAAATTTTTCTAAAAAATTTATAATTTTTCAAAAATAAGCATATTTACGTTGATAAGAGTTAAACTAATAACTACTAAATTTCAGTTCAAAAAAATAAATAAAAATAAACCATATCATAATATCCAATAAAACTTCTAACAACAATTCAATATGTCAAAATCCTAAAACAAAACTTAAATCAAATCACTGTTTAAGAAAACAAAATAAAACTTTAAATAAGTATTTTATAAGACATTATTTATAGGTGTATTTGTCGGAAACAATAGGAATTTTTGGAATTAATTTCGGAAATTAAATAGGATCGAATTTTTTTTTATATAATTACAATTTCAATAAAAAAAAACAGAAAAATCCGTCAGCGACAATATTATTATTTTTTTTGGATTTTTTGTTTTGTTTGAGTTGTTGACCGATTAACGTAATAATATTACTATCTACTGTTGTAATATTACTGTAAACACAATAATATTGTTGTGGTTGACGGTAATATTACTGTGGATGACAGTAATATTAATGTGGATGACTATAATATTACTGTCAACCACAACAATAATAATTCTTTTGCCTTTTTATTATGTTTGCCTTTGTTGAACGGTCAACATATTAATATTACTCTATTACACAAATAATGATTTTTGTTGTGTTAATATTACTGTGCTAGAGACTAATATAACAATATTACTGTGTTAAACAGTAGTATAGTTAATATTACTGTGTTTAACACTAATATAGTTAATATGTCAGTCAACCACATCAATATTGCAGTTTAGACGGGGCAAAAAGATGTTAAAGAAAAAAAAAGTCAACGACAACAATGGGTGAATTTGTCCTCAAATTTGAGTTTTTGATCAAAATTGAATAATTTGTGAAATTTAGAGTCAAATTGAAAGTAAAATAAAGTAAAGAATAAAATTTGAGCATATTAAAATGTGATGAGCTCTTTTAGTTTCTTACAAAACTCAAACAATATGTGGACCTTTTTTATAAAAGAGTTTTTTGTCTGGACTTTTAGATTTTTCTATGAATAAGTATATGATGATGGGCTTATTTGTGAATGCGAAAAAATTAATTGAGATCTATTTTTAAGTAAACGATACCTTATTAAACTAGGGTTTGTTCACAATATATTGCTGGTTCCAACGTTGTATTATCGTAGAAAACAAAAACAAATCTAGAATGCGAAAGCGAATAATCTTGGAGCAGGAAATTCCTGAAGAAATTATCGAAGAAATCTTGTGCTATGTTCCAGTGAATTCCCTGTTGAGATTCAAGTGCGTTTCAAAACGATGGTGTTCGTTCATCTCCAGCGAATATTTCACCAAGAGACACCTCAGCAAATCGTGCGCCGACGAAAAAGATAACGGTAGTAAGTTCATCTTCAGCTTCGAAGGTAAACAAAACAATTCATCGACCCGTTTCTTGAGTGTCGGGTCGTCGTTCTCTCTTGACGACGATGAACCCATCGTCACGACTAGTTTGGATATTCAAATTCGACCCGAGACCGAAATTCAGGTTGTGGAATCATACAACGGGCTAGTACTCGTCCAAAATATTTATACGGGACATTTAATTTGTTGGAACCCTTCAACTAGAAAAACCAAACACATTGAAAAACCCTTCGGTTTCTGTAGTGGCGAAGTAGGAGGATACGGGTTCGGGTACAACGAGTCGACGGACGAGTACAAGGTTGTCTGCTTTAGATACAAGGAATCTTTTGAGCCACGGACGCATGCGCATATGTATAGTTCCAAGACTGATTCTTGGAAAGGAATCGAGGATTTGGATAAGCATGTTTCGGGACGTCCCGGTAAGTTTGTCAACGGAAGGCTGCATTGGTTGGTTTTTGGATACGCCGGCTGGGAAATTGTTGCTCTTGATTTGGTGGAGGAGAAATACGAAACTATGGATTGGCCGGTGTGCTTTCCGGAGATCGATTTGTTCCCACCGTACTTGGAGAATACGGGAGGCTGTCTTACTTTGATGGATTTCAACAGATACACGGATGCGATGAGTGTATGGGTTATGACAGAGTACGGTGCGCGAGAATCTTGGACTAAGATTTGGACATTTCCGAATTCTTTCGATCCTCCGATAGAGCACGAATGTGGCAGTCCAACGCCGCCGTTGTGTCTGAAGAGGAATGGAGATGTTGTGGTGGCTTTTCGATCGGAGATTGTTGCTTACAATGGTGAAAATTTGTTGCGGTGGTCTCAAGTCGATAAGTTCGATCGTTTGATTGGCTCCATTTCTTATGTTGAAAGCTTAGTTTCACCGTTTGGTAGTGACGGTGACGAAACGGCGAGTTGGATGATGACGATATGAATGCAGCTGCTAATGACAATGTTGCGAGAGAACAACAAGAAAACGAGGCAGAAGAAAAAGGAGCTGACTTATGTTCTAGAAACCATGGTTTGTTCCATCATATACTGCTTTTATGTCCTCTAGTTTAGATTTCAATAAAACTATATATATCTTCTTTTCATTTATTTATCTTCTTTTTTTTTTTCAAAAGTTAGTGTTCTACCTATATTTAAATCTTTATAAATTAATACAATTTGGATTGACAAAATTTTATTAATTTATTAATAAGTGACCCAGTATGGGTCTATAGGTAATTCCCACTAGGGGTGGGTTTGGTAGAGCAACCGTACCAAATTCCTCGAATTACGATTATTATCAAAATTTCTTTATTATGAAATTCATTACCATTGTTTTACATCATCATTAATGAAAACAATTTAAATATTTTTGACATACCTAAAAGTATAATTAATTTTAGCTAATAGTAGTTATTTAGGACACTATGTTAACTTTTTATATATATAATAAATTAATTATTTAAATAAAATTTTATTTATTATTAT